TCTATTTCTATTTACATGGATGACTTTCCTTGATCGATGTACCATTGACCCGTCCACAGTCCACACATGACACACCCAGCCCCAGATGCTCCGGACAACCCCCAGGTGCACCCCCACAGGGATACCTGGATGGCTGGGGCTGTGCATGAGGACGATGTGGCAATCCTCATGTGACCCAAGTGCCATGTATATAAACATACCTGGGGTGGGAACCAGAGAAGCAGTCTTCTTCTCACCATTCCCACTTCAGGGACATCTGCCTGCGCCGGACCTGCTGCCATACATGCCCACTTCATACCCACCAGGCCCTCAGCACCAGGCAATATACCTGGATGCTCTCAACCCTGGACTGGTCCCTGACAATCCTGGACAGATCCCCAGACTGACCCCCAGCCTCAGACACTGCAGAAGCTATCATAATGGCAACCCTCCCCAATAAACTCCTGCCCAACAACCCCAAATACCCCTTTATTGTCAACGTACTCATCCAAAAACCCTTCCTCAAAACCCACTGCCACAACAGGAACGTCCCAACAGAACTGCAAGACACCCTGAATACCGGCTCAAAGTACAACCTAAGATTAGAAAATCCAATCATAGACCTGAACACCAAACTCAACCTACCTGCCTGGGCCCATCCCGGCCTAGAAGACAACCCCCCCTCAGCAACCACTCCAAAACAGCCCAATGCCTAAGAAAACCCCACAACTGCCTGAAAATTGGCAACCTTGTATCCCAGGCTGACAACCAAGAACACCCAGACCACAAGCCCATGAAGAAGAAATGCCCCTGCCCACCCTGTCAATCCTACCATCAAAATGGCTGTAAGAACCCGGAAGCTTGCTACCAAACCGCAATAAAAATCATTACAAACCTCAACCTGCTCTATAACCCACACAGCGACACACATCTCCACCTCACCCCCCCCAGGTCCCTGTGAACTTGCATGCCATCAGACCCCCTGAAAACATCAAAACCTTCAACCCAACCCTGCGTTGCAACTTACCTCTCCACCACTTCTTCAGAATCTTCGGGGAATCCCCCCAACTCAACCAATCCAACCAATCCAACAGGAACCAGAAGCCCATCCCTCCCCAAACATCATTGCTTACACAGACAGATCTTGCCACCTGAACGGGAACTCTGATGCAAAAGCCGGCTTCAGGGTCTGGATCAGCCCAGATGACCCAAGAAATGCCAGCATAAGAGTCAACCCCCTCCTCCCCCAAACCAATAACGTGGCCAAAATGCTCACAATCCACCATGCTGCCTCATCCACCCCATCCGAATCCAACTCCACATCAAAACCGACTCTGAGTGGTGCATCAACACCCTTTTCCAAAACCTGAGCTCCCTAGAAGACTCAGACTACTGTCAGGGCACACACCCTGACTAGCCTGGACCCGGACCTGCATGTGTGCTCTGCCCTGCATGCTCTGCACACTGCATGCTCCAGGCCCGGTTCCCACTCTTCATGTGACTTCTGGGTATCCCCGGAAGTTTTTGCCATATTGGGCCACTGTAGGAAAGTGAGAAGTTAACTTCTTCTCACTTTCTTACCCACAGTAGGCAAGTGTACATTACTTGCCTTTATCTTATTCACTTTCTCACCCACAGTAGGCTGTCTACACACAGGGCTGTGGGCTACAGAGAGAGCATCAGCAAACCTGGATGTGGAGGCCTGAGAGCTCATAGAGCTCTCAGAGCTCTCAGAGCTTCAGTACTTTGAAATTGCAGGTCCCCTTCTCTGAGAGCTCCGAAAAGTAGTCAAAGCTCTGAGAGCTCATAGAGCTATATTTGCACACAGGGGACTATTATCTATATGAGCTCCCTGAGTGTTTAATTTACCCGATATTAAAATTTAAATTTAAAAGCATTGACTATGGCATCATGTGACTAGCCATAGCCAAGTCCTTACCATACAAGGGACTGAACAAAGTCAGCTTCACTTTCAGCACCAATGCGGCACCAGACACCAAGGGTATGTAGCCCAATCAATATATAAGCCAAATTTAGGGATATAAATGCAGTTAATCTGAAATTACTTAGGGAAAATGCAGGAAAATGAGTGGGAAAATGAGTGGGGGGAAATGGGGGGGAATTGGGGGGGATGAGGGAGAAAATGAGGGGGAAAATGAGGGGAAAATGGAGGGGGGAATGGGGTGACATTTGGAGGGGGAAATGAGGAGGGAATTGGGGGGAATGAGGGAGGAAATGAGGGAGGAAATGAGGGAGGAAATGGGGGGAAATTGAGGGGGAAGTGGGGGGAAAATGGAGGGGGGGAATGGGGTGAAATTTGGAGGGGGGAATGAGGGGGAATGAGGGGGAAAATGAGGGAGGAAATGGAGGGGGGAAATGGGGGGGAATGAGGGGAAATTTGAAGCGGGAAATTTGGAGGGGAGAATGGGGGGAATGGGGGAAAATTGAGGAGGGAATTGAGGGGAAAATTGAGGGGGGAATGGGGGGGGGAATGAGGGGAAATTTGAAGGGGGAAATTGGGAGGGAATGGGGGGGGGAATGAGGGGGAAATTGAAGGGGGGGGATGAAGGGGAAAATGGGAGGAAAATGAGGGGAACTGGGGGGTTTCTAAAAACTTGAAAAAAAGTCAGGGAAAATTAAGGAAAATTCAGAAAATGGGGGACTTTCTAAAAAAGGAGAATGTCCAAAAAATCAGGGGAAAAATCAGAAATTTTGGGATAAGTTAGGGAGAGATATTTCAGGAAATTAGGAATAATTGGAAAAAAAAAATTAATTCACTTTTTTGATAATTCAATGTGCATTGGAAAGTGCCAAAGTGGGGCAATGTAGCAATGTATGTTTCAGTGTTAGAAAAGTCTCCCACCATGTTTTGGTGAGTGTCAGGGCACAGCCCTCACTATTCCACAATCCCGCATGCATGCAGACCCATGGGAAAGTTCTGGGCAAGTTACTCACCCAGAAACCATCACAGCCACAACTGTGGGAACTTTCTGGGTGAGCAGCTCGTTCCCACGGGGGGTGCCATTTATGGAAAGTCAACAAACAGCTGAAAACTGTATAGTTCCTGGCTCCCATTTGTAGAGGAGGTTGAGAAGGTTTAGCCCCCTCAGTGAGTTTGAGGATCTCGGACTGGGACTAGATACCCCAGCGACTAGGAGGATCCCCTGGGCCCGTCACAGAACAAGGGCTGGGCCCTGACAGTGAGCCAAATAACCATGGCTTTTTGACCATGGGAAATTTGGTGTCAAAGGCTTGGATGATATCTGAAGAATACATCATCTTTTTGTTTGCTTTATTGGGTGGTATTTTCAATTTACTTCATTTGGAACACTTTGTTAAAATTGATTTATACCCTACATAACATGCATGGTTACATTGCCACACTTTGGTGCTTTCCAATTCACATAGAATCATCAAAATTGGTTGAGTTTTGAGCAAGAAATGAGATGAAAGATAAAGTGCAAATTTTTGGATTTCAGAGTTTTCCTCATATTTTGTAAATAGCAATAAAAAATAAGGTGCTGATTTTAGTAAACACAAAAGGTATATGAGCTCTATGAGCCCACTGAGTTCATAGAGTTCATAGAGCTCATAGAGCTTTCAGAGCAATGACAATGGCCATTTTACACACATATATATCCATATTATCTTTGCACTACTGGTGCCAAAATAACTAAGCAGATTTCATGGAGATATGAAGACCATCCATGATTTAAAAACAAAAAGCTCTATGAGCTCAGTGAGCTCATAGAGCTCATAGAGTGTTTCAAGTAATGATGCTGGCCATTTAATATGCATTTCCAAAAATGTATATACATATTATCTTTGCACTTCTGCATCCTTAGGAGAATAAAATCATTCAAACATTTAATTTTCTCCACCCAATGTGTAGAGGGTGCACAGCAAAAAGACTCAATTTGCTCACAGAGCTCTGAGAGCTCTGAGAGCTCCAAGAGCTCCCTACCAAGTTTGCTGATGAGGGGTCATGGGGACCTGGGGTCTGTCCCCTGACAACTATGCCCACTCTAAACACAGATTTGCCACTAAGCTAACCATGAACGTGCTGAGGAACAGACAAAACCTCACCTCCTTTCAGTGGCTCAAAGGCCATGCCGGCATAACCAGCAATGAAGAAGCTGATGCCCTAGCCACCCAAGGCACCCTGTTGAACCCCCTTCCCAATCCCCCATGTCAGGGCACACACCCTGACTAGCCCGGACCCGGACCTGCATCTGCACCGGCACTGGCACCGGCATGCGTGCTCTGCCCCACATGCTCTGCATGCCACATGCTCCGGGCCCAGTTCCTATCCTTCATGTGACTTCCAGGTATCCCCGGAAGTTTTCGCCATATTGGGGCCACTGTGGGAAAGTGAGAAGTTGACCTTCTTTACCCACAGTAGTCCTGCCCTGAGATGGGCTGTGTTTACAGGTTGGACTGTGGACTGCAGAGAGGGGTCATGGGGACCCAGGGTCCATCCCCTGACACCCCACTCCCCTGACACCCCACTCCCCTGGCGGCACGCACCTAATCGCCATAACCCAATCCACCACAACCAGACTAATCCATAGAGTGAGACTAGGAAAGAATCCTGAACTCCGAACTGGAACATCCAACAACATTGCCCTAATCCAATCCACCCTCGAGAACATGAACAACGGTTCTCCTTCCCAGGACAGTGTAAGGGATTAACCTTACTTCACTATAATTCCCATTATAGTGATATCATTATGTTGCATCGCTATAATTCCCATTATAGTGATGCTATTATTTCTTTATTTATTTGTGCCGAGATATGTAATTTACATATATATACCTCGGAGTAGTTGTAAAGGCCCAGTAGCCTTTTACCTCTACCCCATTGAATATACAGCACATTAAAGCTTATGTTTAGACAGACTAACTGAGGCCTGAGGCGAATGGGGGAATGGAACATTACCGTCCCCAAATAAGTAAGCAACCTTTCAGACAGGATATGGCAAAACCTAAGCAGAAACAAAAGAGACGCACCACCTGAAATCAGGAACTTCCTGTGGAAATTAACTCACAATTGCCTCAAAATAGGCAGCTACTGGAAGAAAATCCCAGGATATGAACAGCACGGTGAATGTGAGCACTGCCAACAAACCAACTCAATCTCCCATATCCTATTCGAGTGCCCCCAGAACCATGGGGAGAGACTATGGACAATCACCAAAGGATTATGTGACCAAAGAAAGATTCCCTGGCCCGTGAACCTCGACATCTTGTACATCATGACTGCCCCGATCATCGAGATCAAAGCTGCTAGTGGCCAATCAAAAGTTGGCGAGACAAGACTTTTCTGCATCGTAGTCCTAGAGTGCGCATGGCAACTATGGAAAGCCAGATGCCACAGGGTGATGAACCCTGATCGCCCCCAAACCACCTATAAGGAAGTTAAGAATTCCCTAAAAGCCGGCCTTAACGACAAGCTCCACCAGGACATAGCCCTAACAAACCAAAATAAGTACGGACACAAGGCCCTCCCACCAAAACTAGTGCTACACACCTGGAGTGGGAACCTACAGAATGAAGAGAGTCAACCAGACAACTGGCTGAGCAGCAGTGGGGATTGAGTGGGTATACCAGACCCCCCGTGACCGGGGTGCCCAGAGTCCCACACCACATGCATAACTGCATTTCCTCAGTGGCAGTCCTGGTTCAAGTCCCAATCTATTCCTGGGGATCACCAATCCCCATCACAAACCCCAAATACAATGGGGGTCGGCAACAAGGCTGTGACCTTGTGATGCTTACATAAGCAAACATGGCTTGATCATGGCCGTGCCATCCCCCCTCTCCCAAGACCTCATCTTTAGGTTGCAAGCTATGTTAAAACTCAGGGAACAATAATACAATATCGATCAGTGGTTATCTACATGCAAAAATGAATACATGAATGAATTTTTGAGCTATGCATGATCTAAGCACAATCTCCATCTGATGAGCAGCCTTTGTCAGGTTTCTTTTGTCTTTCTGCAAGCGATTAATTGTCCCCCCAAAGAATTGGAAAGGTAAATATACTTTGTCTGTGTAGGTACTGGGAGGGACATTTGGATTGGATGGTGATAGCAGCTCAGCAGTGGGAGTGATGGATTCAAGAATTTCGTGCCTTTGAACTGGGGCACATTTTTGCTCACATTTTGCTCTGCTGGTTCCCCTGACTGTTTCCCAGCTAGTCTAGCCCCATGAGACTGCACGCTAACAAGCGGTGACAGAGATAGTGGCTAGACAGTCATGGAATAGGTCCAAAGGTTGGGCTGATAGTCCTGGCAATACATTCTCACCTAATACGTGACCTGTCCATCACTTAGCCAAACTAGTCCTCCGAGCCTCGCTGATCTGCCAGGCTTTGGGAGAAGAAACCTTTTTTTTGGAATACTTTCAAGCAGCTCTATCCCTTGGCATTTGGGGGACTAGGAAGGGGATATGGGAAGGTCGAGTCTCAAGCCCAATGTAAGCCTAGCCAAAGGAGCAAGAGACCTAGCAAAGTCAAGTTGGGCAAGCACGCATCAGTGAAGCCTGACACGTGATCCATATTTGCACCTGTCCAGGCATTCTGGGAAAGGTGAGTTTCAAATGTACCTTCAACCCCCTCCATTGACATCAGCAAAAAATTGTTATGCTCCTGAGTGCTCTGGAGTATGGGGAGCACTGGGAGAATCAGGAGGAGATTGGCTGGTCCAGGAACAGCTCATTTCCTCCGGAGTTGGTCAGGTACTCCAGGGCACTCCCAGGAGGGCATGGAGCATTGCTTTGTGCACAAACATATCCAGTAAATACAATTTAATGCTTCAAAATGTATAGGGGTGAGAAGCTTTGGGGAGCTCCTGGAGCATTTGAAAATGAAAAGGAAAAAAAAAGGGAAGACTCCCCATGAATACCTCCTACCACAAGACTAACACAACAAGAAAGTACTTAAAATTTAGGTCAAACACTATACTATACATCAAGGACACTGAGACTCACCAATACACAGTCAAAATTTATGGCCTGATATATGATTAATCTGGCAACTTAATCACTTTCAGACTTGCAGAATATGGAGGAGGGGGAAATGGGGGAGAATGAGGGGGAAATGAGGGGGGAAATGAGGGGGGAAATGAGGGGGAAATGAGGGGGGAAATGAGGGGGAAATGAGGGGGAGAATGAGGGGGAGAATGAAGGGGAGAATGAGGGGGGAATATAGAGGGAAATGAGGAAAATTTGAAAAATAGGGACTTCTAAAAAGTTGAAAAAATAATTAGGGAAAAAATCAAAAAAAATTCAGGAACTGTAGTGCCTTTGAAGTGCTTTCAGGATATATAATTATTTGCAAAATTGAGGAAGAAATGATGGAGAAAAATGGAAAATACTTTCGGAGACCTGAGAAATAATGAGAACTGAATTGATGGGAAAGTCTGAAAATTGAATAGGAAAGTGAGGGGAAGCCTTGTAGCATTGTTATTTTCTGCTGTTCTAATTTCTCCTGACCCTTCTTGGTCTCACTCCCAGCTGCTCCTGGATACTCCTGGATGCTCCTGGATGCTCCTGGGAGGGTCCAGGAGCAGCTAATGGAAAATACTTTTGGGGACCCAAGAAATAATGAGAACTGAATTGATGGGAAAGTCTGAAAATTGAATAGGAAAGTGAGGGGAAGCCTTGTAGCATTGTTATTTTCTGCTGTTGTGATTTTCCCCGATTCTTCTTGGTCTCATTCCCAGCTGCTCCTCAATACTCCTGGAAGCTCCTGAAAGCTCCTGGGAGGGTCCAGGAGCTGCTGGGAGTGAGACCAAGAACAATCAGGAAAAATCACAACAGCAGAAAATAACAATGCTACAAGGCTTCCCCTCACTTTCCTATTCAATTTTCAGACTTTCCCATCAATTCAGTTCTCATTACTTCTTGGGTCTCCAAAAGTATTTTCCATTTTTCTCCATCATTTCTTCCTCAATTTTGCAAATAATTATATGTCCTGAAAGCACTTTAAAGGCACTATAGTTCCTGATTTTTTTGATTTTTTTCCCTAAATTTTCCTCCCACTGCTCCTGGCACATTGCATACTGGTTCAAAAGTTGTTCCCAGTGCATGAGGCTGTATTTTGTTGCATCCCCCCATAACTTAGTGATTACAGCATGCAAAGGCCCAAAACTTTCAAGGGGTATTATAGTGGCATTGGAATATTTTTCGGTGCAGTCTTTATATCAGTACAGACATATGTTGCGCAGAGTTAGGGCCCACATCCATCTCAGCTTCAGAGCAGTGGAATGTACCTTTCCGCTACTTCAACTCGCTTCAAAATTGGCACAATTGCTCTATGGGTGTGAACACAGGTTTTGGTCACTCAGATTTCTGAGAATCTCCCTGATGTATGAGAAAAGCGCGTGCATTTCCAACATACTGTAGTTATGTATAAACCTGTTTCAAAGTGAGTTCCCATACCACATATGCATTTTAATATTATTATCGGGCAATAAATATACAACACTTAATAGAAGTTGTGTGGTTAAATGGAGTGGCTTTGGCCATATTTTTGGAATCACGTGACATTTTTATTTTCTCAGACCTCTTCCCTCATTTGCCGACCCCCAAATACAATGTATCCGCGAAAGCTACTGGGGTTCCACCAAAAAAAAAAAAATTATTCCTGTACTATTCGGCCCCGGAATATTTCACCTCTGAACGCAGTGAACGAATAACTGAGCCCTCATCCGAGTCCGCAAAGCAAATCTTTTCCTCAGCCACAGGGTATCCTGCCAGCTGATACGGAGCCATTACTTAATAGAATCACAAACAGGCGTGTAGTGGGAGAATGAAATTTTGCTTAAGTGTCCCACTTCTGGGTTAGCAACAGTACCAGCCGTCCCGCTCGCGATCCTGGGAGAGGTCGGCTTAGCTATGCAACAGGTGGCACACGCAAGTCCCTCATGCATGATTAGACTATGTCGCGATAAGGCGTAATCGTATGTATGGTATTAGCAAGCTGTTGGTTGAAGCGTTCATTGATCTGAATAAATGGATTAATGTCTATCGACACCGGCAATTCTCACTTCCGGAGATGAATGATCGGTACGGAAGTAATGGAAACCCATGTGGATCGGTGTGGCGCTCCGAGCGGGTATTGGATTCATAAGGTATGTAGAGTAATCCAGCAGTGTCTATCTAGTATTACGAAGTCATAGAGGCCAGAGTCCTGCCTGGATGGAGTGAGAGGAGACCGAGATGGCGCTCTGCTAGGCTGGCTATCTACCTAGCGCTCTGTCTGCTGTCCAGACTGGAGTATGAAGAGAAGATGGTGATCCAGATACAACAGGTCGTTTGTGGCTGCAAAAGCACATGGAACGTGAGGAGTTGGAGTTACCCGACTGAATTCTAGTGATGTTGTGTCTTGTGTATATCGGGATTCCATTTGATTGATCCATGTTTGGAATTCATTTGACTGTTATTGCGTGCTGGACACAATTATTCATGCTTCTCTTCTTCGTCGCATAGTGTCTGTACAGTTATAAATTCCATTGGGCTACTATGGGTCCTATCGTTCTTCAGGGCTTCCCTCTTCTTCTTCCCTTCCTTTACCCTCCTCACCCCGTCCAGCCGTGAACTCCAAACACTGTCATGTCCCACATCGATGAGAAATCGTACCCTCTGGACAAGGAGAAAGGTGCAGATGAAGTCTATGTGACCGGTAATCCTGTTGCCAGTAACAAGTATCGTATGTGGCTTTTTCTGGGCGAAACATAGTGTGTATTGACTGGTTGCTTCTTTAGACTTTGACGAGCATGATCTTGACGGAGTTCAACGGCGTCTTGGGCAGCGTCACGTACAGATGTAAGCATTCATTCAATTGAACTTCTTCTTATCGTCAACCATATCTCTCCACTCACACCTTCCTGCGTAGGATTGCCATCGCAGGTACAATCGGTACGGGTCTTTTCCTCGGTTCAGGGAAAGCCATCGAGCGTGCAGGACCTCTTGGTGCTTTGCTTGCCTACCTGTTCATTGGATCAATCTCGTATTCGACCTTGTGTAGTCTGGGAGAGATGACTTCGTTTGCGCCTATTTCTGGGTCTTTCCCTCATTTTGGTAAGTCCCCCCCCTTCATTGTTTGTACAGCATAGCCAGCTTTTCTGTATTTTTTCCATATTCCTTTGCTTTTCTGGCAGTCACTTGTGTTCGCACACGACCACATTTTAGACCGTTGATACACAATTTGCTGATTGCCCCCTGATATTCTTTAGCTGCGCGATGGGTGGATCCTGCTTTCGGTTTTGCTACTGGCTGGGTAAGCAATGGCCATTCTCATTTTCACTCCGGTTTTCCCTCCACGCGGGAGGGTCATTTCGTCTTCCTTCCCATCCAGCCGACATGATAACATTACTTACGCGCTCTCTCTTTTCATCGTCCCCCTTAATTCATTAATTATCCCATGGTACCCACCATGTCGAACAATCAATAGAACTACTTCTACGTGAGTATCGTGACTTTATGATAATAAAAACGCGCCCCCCGACACATTCGGAGATTATTATGCCAAGCCCATCACGTTTTACTGATTCCCATTACTCTCTTCCCCCTTCTGTCTCTCACAAATGACTCGTAGACACAAGCCATCTCCGTTCCCGTCGAAGTCTCCGCTGCCCAAATCATCCTCACTTTCTGGGATCCTAACACAAAGCACTTCTCTGCCTACATAACCGTCATCTCCCTCTGTGTCATCCTCGTCAACCTCTTCGGCGTACGTTGGTTCGGCGAATCCGAATTCGTCTTCTCCATCATCAAACTTTCTCTCATCACGGGTCTCATCATCGCTGGATTGATCATCGATCTCGGTGGTGGGCCTGATCATGATAGAATTGGATTCAGATATTGGAAACATCCAGGTGCGATGAATACGTACCTTGAACCTGGTGGATTAGGACGATTCTTGGCGATATTGGGTACACTCGTTCAAGCTGCTTTCTCGTACCAAGGTGTGGAACTCGTTGCGATCGCCGCGAGCGAGACACGGTCTCCACGTCGAAACATTCGAAAGGCCGTTCGGAGGGTGTTCTATCGAATAATCATCTTTTATGTTTTGGGGATATTGATCACGGGCATGATCGTCCCCTTTGATGATAAGAACTTGTTGAGCGATGTGGGGAATGCGGCGGAGTCTCCGTACGTAATTGCGATTCGTCGGGCTGGCATTCGCGGGTTGCCACATGTGATCAATGCGTGTGTCTTTACGAGCGCGTTCTCCGCTGGGAATTCGTTCCTTTACACATCATCGAGAATCCTTTATGGGTTGGCGCTGAGAGGGCAAGCACCGAGGTTTTTTGCGCACACGACGTCGAGGGGTTTGCCGCTTTATGCTGTGTTGGCCTCTGGTTGTTTCCCGTTTTTGGCGTTTTTGACGGTGAGCAACGGAGCGAATACGGTGTTTAATTGGTTCGTGAACCTATCGACTGTGGGAGGGTTCTTTGCATGGTTGGCGATCAACTCGACTTACATTGGATTCTGGCGAGGGTTGCGCGCGCAAGGGATCGATCGAACCAAGTTTGTCTATTGGTCACCATTCCAACCTTACTTGGCGATATGGGGTACCTTTTGGTTATCGATCTTGATCTTGATCAATGGGTTTGCGGTGTTTTGGAGTTTCAATGCGTCTGATTTTTTGACGAGTTATATTAACGTGCCGTTGGCGGTGATCTTGTTCGTGGGGTACAAATGGTGGAAGGGACGCATTGGTGGAGGCCTGAGGAGATGGATTTCGTGACGGGGATTCCGAGTCTGAGTGAGACGGAGGAAGAGGAGATTCCGCCGAAGAATTTGGGGGAGAAGATCGCGGCGGTTTTGTTCTAGATGATGAACTAACTACTATCCTAACACATGTGATAGTGGTACTGATCTTGGGCTGGATTGGGGGCTGGCTGATGTGCATCCAGAGTGCTTGGCCAGTATTCTCGATCTTGTATTGATGTTTCATATTTTTTTGAATTCGACAACGTGCATGGCTCTCCCTCGATCTCGACCACTTCGGATTCCAAGTTGTGGCATTTCGGTGACTTTCCAAGTGGATCGATAATTCAGTGATAGGATCAATTCACCTGATATTTTACAACTGGACCAGATTCGCATGAAACCATTTAGCTTTGTGCTTGTGATCCTACCACTGCTTGTCAGGAAGCTCTGTGTCGGGGATTGCTTGGGTTGCGAACAGCGAGACTTCGGAAAACTCCGTTACAACCTAAGTTTGCTAGCTAATTAGCCGGCTCAGGTATTGAACATCGAAGCTTACGCTTCGCAGGCAGCGTGAGTATTCGATCTTCCTCGCTAGCTTGACCAACAATCGAGTGTTGCTCAACCGATTATCTTCCATTTGCGCTTCCTCGTCTATGTGACTCTCTTTTGTTGTTCGGGGCGGCATTTTTCTCAATTTCAATAAACGCCCGAATTCCTCTAATTCTACTGCCGTGGGCGAATTTCATTTTCTACCCTCCAGATCTGATGGCATGCTGATGGCGTTTCGACTTTTTCCCAGCGGCGCGTCTACTCTGAGCGGAATTCAAGAGGGATCTGTGCAATGCCCTCATGACGTACTCTAGGGGGCTCCATAATCGACGGGGGCGCGCGCTGTGCTCTTTACTGTATTGATCTTGAATCTTTAAAAAGCAGAACACACCGAACACTTTCATCTGCAAGCGCTTAGTTGTTTCTGAACTTTTTGAACCAAAAAGCTCCCTTCCCCAAAAATGAACGGGATGGAAACATCACCTTTGGCCCTGCTCACAGCTGAAAAGCATGCCCAGCAGTTTCGTTACGAGATGGCCCGCCGTGGAGTGCGTGGGGACGTTACTGATATGATCGACTTCAATGAAGAGAAGGCATATATCGCCGGAGGATCTTACTCGCACGTCGAGTCTGTTTGGTATTATGGAGACGATGGCACGAGGGTATGGTTCCGCTTGTGACTTGGGAACCCAAAAGCTAACGTTATGGCTTGGGCGCATTATAGCGGAAAGTCTGTCTTAAGACACTTCACTTGGCCACTACCCCCAATGGAGAGGTTGGTTGGGAGGCGTTACTTCGGGTGGGAGAAATTCTTTTCCTAGTATATTTCCTTGGTCATTGATGGCTGATTGAGTCTTTTCTTAGCGTTTCCTCCGGGAAGGAAAAATTTGGAGTTCTCTTAACCACCCCAACGTTACCCCTTTCTACGGTTGGGCACTTCATGTGTCTGGGCCTGACGTGCATGCCTGTTTCGTATCCCAGTTGTGTACTGAGGGAAGCTTGCGTAAGTACTTGCGGTTCAATCCTAACGTGCCGAAAAGCAAAATGGTGCGTAAGAACTTTGGAGTGGCGTTTTTGACAATTATTGATGATGTCGTAGATCCGTGAAATCGCTGCTGGACTTCTTTATCTTCATGATAGAGGGTTGGTTCACGGAGATGTCAAGCCAGTAAGTGTCCAACGTTGTCCGTTTCACTCCATTCGACGAAACGGTAATTTGAAGACCAATGTCTTGGTGAATTTCGATGGCCGGGCCATGCTATGCGATTTCGGACTATCGATGGCAATTGATGATAGCTCGACACACCCAATTGGTAGCAGCATTTTCACCACAGTACAATTCTCTGCCCCCGAATTGGTTATGTTCGAGGATCAACCTCCACCTCGCACCAAAAGCAGTGATGTCTGGGCATTTGGCTGCACGGCGATGGAGGTGAGTTCGACTCACATAGCTTGAAGACCGCTATACACACATGATACTCATTGTCATCGATTTAATAACGATGTATAGGTTCTCTCTGGGCGAAAACCGTATGAGTGGAAGCATACCCTGAGGATCCCAGACGAGATGAAAAAAGGGGTCCTCCCTTTTAGGGAGTTTAGGTCCAATTCGAGGTTGGAGACGATCTTGCAGTATTGTTTCGCCTGGAGCCCTAACCATCGTCCTACAATGTCTCAAGTATACACAAACATGCTTTCGTAAAACCAGAAAGTTCTGCGGTGTGTGTGGCATTGCAATGCAGCCTCGGTCCTCTGAGTGGGTCGTCATGGAACCCTTAACACTCTGTGGCATAAAGGGCTTCATAGTCCTGTTTTTGGTGTTTATGTGATGCGTTCGAGACACGGATTTATGTTGCCAGTTGCGCGCGTTAAATCCGTTGACCAGAGGTTATCAAGATATATTTTGGCGACGGAAAAGCTCGCGCTATCTTTGTCACTGGCGTGCATGCCAAAGAATGATTGCGTGCTCTATTTGGATCAGATTCAAATGAGCGCTCACAGAGTGGAGAATGCCAAGATTCGGTCCGTGCTCCTTCATACTTCACGTTATGATACATTCGCTGTTAAGTGTTAACATGCAAAAACATCTTCGGACATTGTATTGCCATTTTGGATCATCACGAGACCCACCTGTGCGGCTTGCTGTAACGTAATCAATCGTGAAGGGACGTTGCACAGGACCCGGCAGGAACCAAGTAGACATTCGTAAACGGCTTCCCTGCTCGTGGGCCACAATACTCCCCGGCCGGCACCATCTAGGTGGGGCCCCTCCACCTCAAAGACAGCTCTGTCTGTCCAGCGTAAGCCACCATGCATGGGGTGCACAAAAAAGCGAAATCAGTTGTTCCTCGTAGCCTAACGGCTCTTATAATTTAGGCAGGACTCCGGGTAGTATTGTAATTGCCTTTGTTATTTGGAGAGGGATTCCATCGCGCTCCTGAATCCGATAAGCGCCCAATTGACTTGGGCGTTATTGCGCCATTGCTCAACTTCACCTTCGCGGGCGCACGAGTTGCGGGGATTATCTGTGCGCTCGGCCGGGGACAATAACGCGCGCCTTTGTCTGTTGGATTCGTCACCAGGCAGGCGGCGCGTTGACCTATTTCGACGTATCCTCAAATAGGACTCAAATGTCGGCCGATCCTTGTTTGATACTACGAAGCGCCTTTATGACACACTCCTAGGGGCTCCATAACGACATGCGGGTCCGACAGGCGCGCTAGAGCTATGCCCTGTACGACACATAAAAAAAGTCCACAGAGAACGAGCTCCATCCTCTTCCAGATATCCGAACCCTTGATTCAAAGACCCCCAGTGGATTGTACAAAATGGAAGCACCACCTTTGGTCCTGCTCACAGCTGCAGAGCATGCCCAGCAATTTCGAGATGAAATGGCGCGTTACGGAGTAGATAGGGATGTCACGAATTTGATCGACTTCGATAAAGAGAAGAAATACGTCAATAGCGGATCCTACTCACTCGTTGATTCTGTTTGGTATTATGGGGACGATGGCGAGAAGGTGTGTGTGTGCTTCTACTTCAAAACATCTTTGTGTATCTGGCGAGAAGCTGATAGCGTGGTTCGGGCGTGTTCCCTAGATCAGGGCCTGCTTAAAGACCCTCCGCCTTGCTACCACCTCTGATGGAGAGTATGGCTGGAAGGCATTGCTTAGGGTGAGGGAGGTTCTATGCTCACATTTTTCGGTCATTAATCGCTAATCGGATTATTTATTTTTCCTCTAAGCGTTTTCTCCGGGAGGGAAGGATTTGGAGTTCTCTCAACCACCCCAACGTTACGCCTTTTTATGGTTGGGCACTTCAAGTGTCCGAATCCGACGTGCATGCTTGTTTCGTATCCCAGCTGTGCGCACGGAAGGACGTGCGAAAATATCTGCACTCCGAACCCAACGCTTCGAAAAGTACTATAGTCAGTTGTGGAACTCTCCAAGTCGCATTCCATCGATCCTGACAGTCATTGTTGGTGTTTCAGATTCTTGAAATCGCAGCCGGGCTTCTCTATCTTCATGAACAAGGGGTAGTTCACGGAGATGTCAAGCCAGTGAGTGTTCACGACCATCACCTCCCGTATTCATTTGATTGAGCGGTAATTCGAAGACCAACGTTTTAGTGGGTTCCAATGGCCGGGCCATGCTATGCGATTTTGGACTGTCGATCGCGATCGATGACAGCTCGACACACCCCATTGGCAGCAGCGTTTTCACGACTATACAGTACTCTGCACCTGAATTGATCCTATTCGAGGACCAGCCCCCGTCTCGAACCAAGAGCAGCGATGTCTGGGCATTTGGTTGCACGGCTATGGAAGTAAGTTTCGGGCCGCGTAACATCACGGCTCCCATGACCACGATTACTCATTAGCATTCTTAATGGTGTCTAGATTCTTCACGGGCGTCGACCGTATGCGTGGAAGAATCCTTTCCACATCCCCAGTGAGATGAGAGATGGGATTCTCCCTTTCAAAGAGTTCGAGCCCGATTCGGAGTTAGATGCAGTTCTCCAGCGTTGCTTTGCTTGGAGCCCAAGGGACCGCCCCGCAATGTCGGTAGTAAAAGCATGCCTTCATGGAATCTGCAAGCGTGTAGATTATAGCGCGGCTTCACACAGCATGGAAAAGGATTCCTGAGCTGGCCGTTATTGTACGCTTGCCTGGAGCTCATGATCAATGTCATTTGTATTGACGTGCATCCCATGCGGTCGGGGCGTGGATCCCCGCCAGCATGCGCAATCCCGTTGCATTCGTAGGCGAGGTCGTTAGGATGAGGCTGACCTGGCAAGGCTCCGGACGAAGCCAAAGAGGCGGGGGTTCCATGTTGAACGACTTCTATCACAACAGCACTATGACGCGTGCATCAGGTGCAGGCCGTTGAGGAATCGAAGACCATGAGGTTAATCAGGTGCCACTCGCCTTTGTATCCGATCCTTTTGCGCTTGGCCACTTCACCGACTTGGATCTCGAATTCGACTTCATTCACGCTGAGAGCAATACAAAATCTTCTTGACAAGCCGTTAGGAGACTGACGACTGAGAAATGACCTAGATTCCAATAAATTCTACAATTGTGTTCCCACATTCCCCATGCTCATTCTGATAACATGAACTTCAACAAGAGTGGAAGTATGGTCATACTGACAACTCTGGAATTGAACCTCCTGTTCTTGCATCGCCCGTACCCACATCTCCTGCGTCAGCTGAGTTGGTTACACAATCTAACACAGCTTCTTCCTTCTTTGACGCTTGTGCAAGCTTCGTGTCGATCGAAAGATTTTAGAACACAATGCAAAGGCCTCCTTTAGATTAACGGGGGGAAGACACACTGACCAAAATTTTTTCAACCTGTTGCAGGGTCTTCTTGTACCTCCGTGTCAATCCATTGACCCGACGTTCTGTTTCCCTCTGTAAAAAATATTTCCAGTATCAATTCCCAGATTTCTGTGCTGGCAGAACATCAGATGGTTGGATGTTGGACGACAGCAGTGGTACCGGAGATGATGGGGGAGAGCTCGGAGTAACTGTCTTGGTAGGTTCGGAAGTTCGGAACGTAATACTGCTTGAGACCCAGTCAATCAATGGATTGTAGTGGGTAAGCTGTCATATCCGTACAATCCCGACCTCCGCTCCGGGCTCCCGGAACTCCGAACCTGACTTCCGGAATCCTACTTCCCTTCCATCACCTCCTCCTTGCCGACTCCCAAGAGGTTATCCCACCTCCGGCTCTGACACCACCTTCAGTCCGACTCCGGAACATTCCAGGTCCGACCCCAACCTCGACACCTTCCAGACGAGTACGCAACACCTATGCTCCGGGCCTCTGCTCTGGAATCCCATTCACATCTCTGTCTCCGGAACCTCCAGTCTTAGCTCCGACCTCGGACTTTGACCCCACCTCCGCTTATACCCATTGTATTGGTTAGCTCATTCCATTTAATTACATTTGCCAATATTCCAGAGTTTAACTTCCAAGTTCGGACTTTCCAGACTTACATCGGACCTTGCAACTATTGCATTGCTCCATTCAGTTCCGCTATTCTCCCTCATTCCTATTTGGGCTACTGCTTCCTTTCTATTCAGTCAGCTAGCCATTCCCCACTCCCAACCTCCTTCCTTCCTCCTTGGGCCTTGGCCCTTCACTCCTCCTTTGGGAAACACTGTTGAGTCAAACCCTTGACCCTCAGTGTTGTTCCTCTTTCCAGCTCCCTTTGTCTCCTTTCAGAGTACCCTCGCTCCTTTTGATTCCGGACCCCTCCTTATATACAATGTACATAGTAACTTGTAACCTCAGTCCAAAATCGACCTGAATTCCCCCAAGAGACTTTCCCTCTGCTAGATCCGAAATTAGGGACCCCTAGGACAACCAGCAATGGCACAGCGCTCCACCTGAGTCACTGAGGCCGAGGTCCTTCCACGCTAAGTCTCCAATTCCACTCCAGAGTCGTCTGAATCCACCCGGTTCTAACATAAGCCAGTTGTGTCCTAGGACTAGGGAACATGATCCATCCAGCGATGTGACAAAGAAAGTCATGGGGGTGATGTTTCTGGAAGTGAAGCAGAGGGGAATATCAATGGCACGGGTTATGATTGAGTTGGTGCTACCGTCGAAAAGGGGTAGTTGTAGGGGTTTTATCTGATATGTCTTCAAGACCAACTTCTTTACGAATGTGTCATCGATGAAGCAGTCCAAAGACCCAGAGTCTATGAGTGTGGGTACGTTCTTATAGGTGCGGAAAAGTTTATTTTGTGTCCTATCATTGGATGGAGGAGAAGAAGAGACAGGAGAAGAGAAAGAAGAGAAATGGAAAGAGGTGGATCGATCTACAGAAGTAGTTGGAGGGGGTGGAGGAGAGAGTGGTACATCAGCAACACTATCTACAATGGGTAGAACATTAACTGAAGGGTCAACATTGAGAGGAGAAAATAGACCATTTGAAAGGGAAAAAGAAACGGGAATATGGAGGGAGGATAAGTCGGAGATGGAAGACACATTTAAACACACTTCTTTGAGCACATGGAGGGAAGAATTGCAACCCCCGGTCCGTGTGGAGTCCACAGGGGTGCAGACTAATTTTTCGCCTCTGTGGAAGCAGATCCTTGCTCCTCGGTCTGGGCCGAATGGGCCTTAGACGCACGAGAAGAAGACTTGGGACAGTCCTTGACCATGTGGCCAGACTGACCGCAGAACATGCAAAGTTTCTCATTGAGATGGCACTTGCACTCTTGTGGCATGAGCTTGCTGTTGTCTCCGAGTTTTGACAAAAGGTCTGGTTTAGTGGAGCTGGCCTCAGACTTCTTATTGTCCTTTGGAGGCTTGCTACTTGAAGCGGAGTTGAAAGAGGAGGAGGAAGGAATGGGGTTGGAACAAGAAGTGGTGGTGGACTTGTCAAAAACGTTAGAGGAGGGTTTCATGTGATGCATTGTAACGGTGTCAGGGGACGGACCCCGGGTCCCCATGACCCCTCTCTACAGTCCACTGTCTGTGGCCTGTAAACACAGCCCATCTCAGGGCATAGCTACTGTGGGTAAGAAAGTGTATAGATAAATAGGAAGTAGGCTACACTTGCCTACTGTGGGTAAGAAAGTGAGAAGAAGGTTAACTTCTCACTTTCCCACAGTGGCCCCAATATGGCGAAAACTTCCGGGGATACCCGGAAGTCACATGAAGGGTAGGAACCGGGCCCGGAGCATGCGGCGCACGGAGCGTGCAGGGCGGAGGCACACATGCGGGTCCAGGTGCGGGTCCGGATGCGGGTCCGGGTCCAGGCTAGTCAGGGTGTGTGCCCTGACAAACGGGTCTATCAATCTAAACTTGCAACTCAGGTCTGGGGGGGGTAGGTCTCTCTCTAGTGTCAGACAGATGTAGTGGGGTCCTTGGGTACGGTGCTGATAACCCTCTCTAACTAACTATACAGTGTCACGGAAGAGTCCGATACAAATAGAAAAGGAAAGTCACATGCGTGAATGAATGAAAATAGTAAAGATAATGAAGAAAATGTCATATCTCCTCAACAACCAAACCAGATCTAACGATCTTAGACTCGTCAGAACTACCTCTACCACCTCTACAACTCCTACTATTACCCCGACTCACCAATCCTAATCCCTGATGCAGTAAAGGGTGAAGTGTGCAATGAGGCTCGTTTTAACCCACACGGACTTGTCCCCACAACAGCGTCACTTCAGATTTATGCTCCCAATAGCGTGCATCGAAAGTTTGTGACAAGGTGCGAAGTTCCGAAAGAGTAGAAGGTTTACCTACTCTGGCAATATCGTCCTTGATATGTTCCGGCAATCTGTTATAGAAAAAATGACAAAGTGCAGCTTCTCTGTAACCATGAAGTTGAGAGGCATGTTGGTTGAACTTGATGACGTACTTATTGATGTGGTGCCCATCCTTCATGTCCAGGGTCATTAGTTGAACTTCGGTGTCACCCACAGGATCGTGAGGACCGAAGTTGGTTTGAAGTTTGTTGACGAACTCTTGATAGTTATTCATCCCTTGCAGATGAAGCGGAAAATTTTGATCGAATAATAGATCCGGCTCAAACCAATCAAGGGCCATTCCCTTGAGGTAGGACTGTGCGAAGATGACTTTGGTGCAGTCGCTAGTAAAAGCGAGGGGATGGTCCTGGAAATTCAGTTTGCATTGGACCAGAAATACTCGGAGTTCTTGGGGGTCTTTTCCATCGAACTGTTCAGGCTCACGGACCTTGGTCCGGAGAGTGGAAGATGGTGGACGTGGTGGACATCCGGTGTGACGAGCCAAACTGGCGATGGCTTGGGCTAGTTGTGCAATAGCCACGTTGGGGATGGGTTCAGCATCGTTGGCAGTTGGGACAGTGGGGATGGGAGGATCAGCAGGAGGAGGGTCGACGAAATTGGGGGCCTCGGAACCGAGTCCAAAGAAGTGAATGGGGTCTATGGGTTGTTCTGTGGTGTCTCCAAAGTCGGAATCTGCAACTGGTGATCGATTTCTAACAGGACACATGATCGGAGTTGACAGGAGAGGGGTTTCTAGATTAGAAAAGCTACGAAACTCAACTGGGTTTCTCGCCAATCAACTAGGACCAGGCTGTGAGGGTTCTGGGGATGGTGAGGCAGAGTTTGGAACTAATGTGCATAGTTGTGAATGAGTGTGAGGGGCTTTTGGTGCCATACAAGATGTGTACTAGTCAGGGAGTAATAAAATACTGTCAGAGACCAGATCGAGATGAAGGAATGTCTCCGTGGTGGCCTCAGCAACTTATGCCAGGAGCGCTGTGCCAAGTAACACGTCCGTGCCCTAACTTACTAACTGGAAACCGGAACTAAAAGGGGGTACACTCTAGTCGATTTTATTACAGGGGTGTAACCTATGTACAAGTTGA